CAGCTGCTTTGTTTCACTCTTTCGAACGTCTTCACAAGCTAAGTTCATTTTAATGCTCTCAGGTTTGGCAACATGCGTGTTGCTAAGGCTATCTTTCTTGCTTAGGCTCATTTAGTTGTTTTCAGTTACATGCTTGTGTTGTGCTAGTTTATGTGACCTATTGGCAATGTGCGGTACTTATCTGTTGTCACTGGTAACACGCTTGTCGCTGCATATGCTGCACTTAAAGGGGGGGTCTAATGCTATTTCATGCATTCTGAGTTGTTTACACTGTTAAGAGTTGGATTCTTATGCGCGAGCGCGCACTCAGCGACCCGAGCGAGAGCGAGCCGCTCTACGCGTTTTGTTCATGGTTAACTTACTGAAGTCATCGGCAGTGCTGCAGTTACTTGCTCGAGAAGACTGTCTCTAAAGATGTGTGTTTTTGGATGTGAGGAAAAAATAACCTTCTTCAGTGTTATGTGAACAGTGGATGCAATTAGTTTTTTCCAGGGGAAGCAACGAGCATGTTTGTTGTTCCCGTCACTTCGGTGACGAATGTTTTATACCAAGGTACATTCTGACACTGGATTTGTACATCATTTGATACTGAAAGACAGAGCAGTCCCAGCGATAAAAAGATCCCGGTCATGACTAGGAACTGCTGTAAAACTGCATCAAATGTCTGTGTTTGTTGCCAATCGGCCCGTAAGTGCTCGCGACTCTTCAGCTCCGCCCACGGCTCGCCTCCAGGAGCGTGGCTGTTTTCGGAGAGAATCGTAAGCTGTATTTTTCTTTATAAATCTGATAAAACTGAAATCTGACTCTTCGGAGATGTGAATGATGCAATACTACACTATAGGTACTCAAGATTAACATGAGATTGGCCGAAACTGTGTGCGTTATGTCTCCTTTAACATAGTCAAGTCGCCTTTATTTTATAGCACTACAGCACAGATTTAAGCAGCAGAAAATAACGACCATGGTGCAAACGGAATCAATTCTGCTGCGGCGCAGGTCCAAGAGAAAATGGTAAATGGTCGTTGTTCAGTTGAAGTCATCCGAAAACCTAGGCTGCTGACATGCTGCCTATTATGCCATGTCTAACATTACTTCTTCCTCCCCACTGGAGGGCGCTGTTTGACATAGGTTGAGTTAAAATCCAGTTTGACAAAACTTTATTTGCTATACTTCATATCGGGGGAACACATGAAGCACAGCGGCATTTCGCAGCAGGTTTCTTTCATCTTCTTCCAATCTGTTGTGTAAAACCCCTAAAGAAGCAACAGAAATAGAGTCAGGAGAAATTGATATGGCAACTGACGCCACAGCATATCCACAGGAGACAGTTGAAAAGCGCACAAAGGACTATGTGGACAGTCTTTCTGGATCAAGTTTTCACTGTCTCCCTCCCGTTAAAGCAGAGCCTGACTCCCGTGATCACAAACAGTTCACGACAATGCCTGCACTGCCCACCACGACTGCCACAAGCTATGTCCTACAAGACGCTGACAGATTGACCCGCATATCTACTCCCAAACCATACCAAGTAAGTCAGCCGGGAATGCCCAGCGCACTGCTATCATTTCCCCAGCACACACCATACATATCGTTCTCACGTAACCAAGCATATGGACAAGTTCCGGTTTCAGAGAAATCTAACAAACCTCAGACTCCCTACCTCAGCAGCACAACACAACAGCCATCCTCTTCAGACTACATAGGTATGAGTGAAATAGCTAGATACCTTGTGCGTCGTGAGCTTGTTAACTCAGGGCTTAGTAAGTTTGACGAGCGCCCGGAAAATTACTTGGCATGTAAGTTGTCATTTATTAATGCTCTAGAAGGACTATCACTTATTGGTCATTGAAGCTGATCAGTCATCTCCTTGCAATGTTTGGCTATCTGTATATGCATGCTCGACACACATGCATGCAGAGGACAGAATACTGCCTATCAGCCAATGACTTCGCAGGCAGCATTTGTTCATGAAGGTAAACTCATGAAACTGATATTCTACCTTGAAATGTGTCCTCCAAAGGCAGCATTTTCCAGTTTTGGACGCAGCCGTCAGTTCAGCGTTGATTCTGCTCCGATACCAGACACGCTTGTTTACCTATCTAAGTATTCATATATAAGGTCCCGCAGTAGTATCAGCAGTTTTGCATTGCTCGATAGCTAATTACCCTCCTCCATCCCCAGCTCCTCCTCTGTCAGTCAGGATTCAGCCTTCTGATTATCCTTTGAATCAGACTAATTCTAAAATGTATACATAAAATTATTTAACTTTAACGATATCTGCAATACATTTATGTTGGTTCTGTTCTGTTTACCCTGGGGGGTAATCGCTGCTCTCCCTGCTCTCATCCATGCTAGCCTGCATGGATGCGCAGGGAGTTCTTGCCCAGAACAGAACAATACTGCCAATCCAAACTCTATGCTAATTGTCAATCATCGTTGACGATAGTGGTCCTGACAGAAATATTATATACGGGGTGTTCTGCTGAGCTCCTCTCCATATTAGTTAATCGGTCATTGTTTTAATTTCTTGGTTTCTTTTACTTCATAATTTTCTTTTTTGAAGAGCTGTATAATGACTAAGCCCAAAGTTGAAAGTGGAAAGAAGTTGGATAATGCATTGAATGAATACCCTGCTCAGTCACCGTCGGAAATGGCAGAACAAGCCGCGGCATCCTCGGGGTCGAGTGGCGAGACTGACGCGGAATCTACCAGTATTCTTCTGGCAATACAGAATATGAGGAAAATGATGACTGATCGATTTGATCTTCTGGAAGCATCTTTGGCGTCCACTCAAGCATCTTTAGCAGGGATAGAATTAAGGAGGTGGAAAATGCTACTTCTGATTATGACAGCTGCCTTTCCCTCGTCGAGCAGAAGTGCGCAAAAGTACAGTCAGAGAATAAAGCTCTTCGAGAAAGTGATCGATCTGGAAGCTCGCTCCAGGCGGCAAAACATTAAAATCGTCGGCTTGCCTGATAAGATAGAGAATGGGCGCCCCATGGAATTTCTGACGAAATTTATTCCTGACCTGCTGGGTGCTAGCAACTTCTCTAAGCCGTTGGAAGTGGATCAAGCTCATCGTCTGGGGAGGCAACCCTCTGGAGAAGACACACGGCCGCGTGTGATGATAGCCCAGAAAAAATACTCCAACTGGCTCGTCAACAGTTTCCTCTGCGCTACAAAGGCAGGCCGATATACATCTTTCCCGACCTTAAGGGTGAAATAATGAAGCAGCGGCAGGCATTCAATGATGTCAGGAAGCATCTCCGGGAAGCCGGTGTGAGAAGCGGCTTCATTTACCCGGCAAGACTGCGCGTCACCCATGGTAACACTGACAAGGTGTTTCCCTCGCCCGAGGAGACGGAGGTCAACATCGGGACGCTGTCTTGAAAATCATTTCTATATGCTGGCATAATATGCTCTGGTAAGTGACTTTTATGCAACAGCAATTCAGACTGGGACATTTATATGGATTTATAGACTATTGTTGGGCTCACCTGATTCCAAACATTTAATTTCAGATTTTGTAATTGTGTTTTCTGAAGAAGTTAGTTTTTCTTCGCATTCTTTAAAAAATGATTGGGAGGAGGAATTAGGTATACAGATAGGAGCTGAAGTGTGGGAGGAGAGCCTTAGCAGGATTCGTTCTTGTTCTATTAATTCTAGGTATCAGTTAATTCAATTTAAGGTGATGCATGGATTGCACTATTCAAAATCTAAATTACACCGGATTTTCCCAACCGTTTCTCCTACATGTGATCGGTGTAAATCTGCAGAGGGCTCTCTTACCCATCTCTTTTGGACATGCCCTAAACTTTATAAATTTTGGTGTAACATATTTAAGTGGTTTTCTTATGGTTTTGCGTTTAAGCCTGATCCAGAGATTGCATTATTTGGATATTCTGCTTCTTTGTCAGACCATAATGTCTCTGTACAAAGCATCATTATTTACGGAATGATTATTGCTAAGAGCATCATTCTACGACTTTGGAAATCGGATACTGTTCCTCAGTTCAAGACCTGGTTGACTTATCTTACTGGAATATTGCACATGGAGAGAGTAAGGTATGGAATTATGGGTAACCTTGATAAATTCTACAGTATATGGCAACCATTTCTGGATCATCTTAACCCGTTAAATGCTGACTCTGATCAGTAATGTCGGGCAAAGTATGCTGTCTGCTCTGCCCTCTACTGAGTGCTTGTTTGTTTGTGCTTTGCCACTGAAACTGCATATACGCCCTGGTTCTTAGTTTTTTCCTTTCTTTTTTTTATATTATTATTATTATTATTAATGGTTGATGATGTTAATAATTACTAATAATCATTTATATTGCTGTTTTTATTGTTAATATTATCATTCATTGATTTGTATATATTTTCTAAATGTATTTTGTTTTCTTTTACTTTTTTGTAAAATGTAAAATTCTAATAAAAATACTATTAAAAAAGAAAAAGAAATATTATTTACCATTATTTTTCTTTGCATTTCAATAATCAGAATAGGATTTGTCATTGTGGTAATGAGATAGGAGCAAATGTGCTTAATTGTCATAAAAAATCATGTGAAACTGCAAAACATCTTAATGGAAATAAAAATAGGCTTTATTTCCTGTAAGTAAAATATAATTTCTTATTTCTTTCTTATTGTGGTGAAATATGTACTGGTTATTTTCTTGACAGAAGATTCATTCATGTATTTCTTAGGAGATGAGAAGTATCTAGTGAGTAATTTCAATACTCCTTTGGCGGTAAAACTTACACATCAACTTTATCCTGTCACAAGCTCCACTGTAGCACAAAAAAAAAGATAATCCATCTGTAGACATTTGGCATACTATTTTCAATGCCCAATGGTATGGTTTGGGACACACTAGTCATAATATTGTATACTACACCATATGGTTTGGATATGAATTCTGTATAGTACGGTTGTGAATTGGGATGCAACTTTTGCCCCGTTATCTGTTTTTCATCTTTTTCCATGTCTTTCTCTGTAGATCATTCAGAGGGGAAAACGGTCTGAGATTCAGGCTGAGTATGAGTTTATATGGCCTCAGAGTAGTGAGCTACCTTCCCCTACCTCAACACAAAACACACATGTGACGCAGCATTCACACACCACCTGTCAGCCCGGCGCAGTAGCACAGACCAACAGTACCAGCTCCTATCCGCTGTGGGTAAGAGCATGTTAAAGATACTTTAACATGCACCTATAATACAGTATTTATATGTGTTTTACAGTGCTTATTTCAATATTCCTGACCTCATCTGTAAAGCATACACAGAATTTCTTCTGTTGTAGCATGCAAAAACAACATGGTAAAATAATGCTGGAATCTATGAAAAGCAATGGCTCTACTATGAGAGGGAACAATATTTAAAATCTTCTATAAAAGTTTTTTTTATCAATAATAACACACATTTTCGTGATATTCAGTATTGCTGTAGTACAAAGATTTCTAAATGGCAATCGCAGCAAGTCAATACGGTAAAATCCAAGTCTCTAGCACCCCCTACATGTGGAACTCATTTAACGCAACCTGCTTGTTTCCTATAGCTACAAACTTTTATAACTTTTCTTTTAACTACAACCAATTGCAAATAGAACATTTATTTTAAATATCAAATATATATATATATATATATATATATATACCCCCTTATGAATTTTCCCAGTATTTTTTAACCTTAAATGTATCAGCATTAAAATATCTCACACTGTCAAGAAATGATAGCTAACAGGAAGCAGCGGCAGGCATTCAATGATGTCAGGAAGCATCTCCGGGAAGCCGGTGTGAGAAGCGGCTTCATTTACCCGGCAAGACTGCGCGTCACCCATGGTAACACTGACAAGGTGTTTCCCTCGCCCGAGGAGACGGAGGTCAACATCGGGACGCTGTCTTGAAAATCATTTCTATATGCTGGCATAATATGCTCTGGTAAGTGACTTTTATGCAACAGCAATTCAGACTGGGACATTTATATGGCCGTTTTTTGTTCATAAAGTTATTTATGTGGTTGGAGAGGGAGCTGTAGGGCTTCTTAGCTATAGGTTCGCTGATCCGATGGTCCAGCTACCCCTCAGTGAGTTTTTGGGATACGTGTTCTCACTTTGTTTGGGAAAGTGGGACGAGGGTTGGGGGGTAATGTTCTTTTTGTGTGAGTTGTTTTTTTATTTTTATACCATTAAGTGTTTTAAAAGGGCGGTATGCTTGTACATTGTTTATTTTCAACTTTTGTATGAATCCTAGTTTACCATCGAAGGGCAGCGGCATCACTTTTACCAGCTGGAATGTGTGTGGCTTGGGTCATGTGATCAAGCGAGCTAAAGTATTTTCCCATTTGAAATCTCTGTCCGCTGATGTTATGTACTTGCAGGAGACCCATATTAGGCCCATGAGAGAGAAGATGCTTAAATGCATAAATGGCCATATCTTTCAGTCCACATTCTCCAGCAAGGCTAGAGGAGTTGCAATCTTAATCCGTAAGACAGTTCCTTTTAGACATGTTTCCACTTTGAGTGATCTAAACAGTCGATATATTTTGTTAACTGGTTAAATTTATTCATTTCATGTTACACTTCTTAATGTGTATGGACCAAATTTTGATGACCCTACCTTCTTTAATAAAATATTTAATTTATTGTCTGATTTTACTGATTCACATGTTATTGTAGGTGGTGATTTTAACTGTGTGCTTGATAATGTTTTGGACAGGTCAGCCCAAATAAGCCAGTTGCCCTCTGCCTACATAGTTCTGAATAGTCTAATGTCCTCCATGAATCTGGTTGATATATAGAGACTGATACATCCCACAGCTAAATATCAAATATATATATATATATATATATATATATATTTGTAACATTATAAATGTCTACATGAAAGGTCAATTTATTGCATCCCTGCTAATTAAAAGTATTGATTTAAAACAGTAATGTACCTTACGATTTACCTTACAGTAATGTATATAGTAACAATATTTAAGTAGCAATATACAGTATAATATATTGGTTCACACTTGCAGTTTCAATCATTTTAAATGACTAAAGTTGTGCATGTGGGTTGGTGGACATGTGTTTAGACCCACTTCAGATTATCACAACATCTTAATTTCTGATCACTCTCCGACTTCAATGGTTCTTGATCTTGGCCGTAAGACTAAACCATAGTGTTGGCGTTTTCATCCTTCTCTACTTTATGATGTATCATTTTGTCAATTTATATCTCAAAAGATCTCAGAATTTTTAGATATCAGTGATAATTCTGAAGTAACTGACTCCACTTTGTAGGAATCTTTTAAGGCTGTGATCAGGGGTCATATTATCTCTTTTGAGTCTTCAGCCAGACGAGACAAACGTAGACGCCTTTCAGAAATAGAAGAGGAATTATCTCAATTGGAACCCTCTTATAGAATTTCCTCTAGCCCTTCTACCTTACAGACTATTCTTAAATTAAAGTATGAATATAATACTATTTTATCTGGACAGGTATGTGATCAATTGTTAAGGGTAAGACAAAAATATTTTGAGTTAGGGGATAAGCCCCATAAATTGCTAGCTCGACAGCTGAGGGGTTTACAAGCTAATAAAGCCATACACAAAATTAAATCAGAAGCAGGGGACATGCTTGTGGATCCTAAAGGTATAAATGATCGCTTTAGAGAATATTATGAACAATTATATACATCAAGAGCAAGAGGGGACATCTCTAATTGGCTAGGTCCTTTGAATCTTCCTAAACTGAGTGACGTTGCTTGTGAGGCCTTAAACTCTGACATTACTATTTCAGAGATTGTTGATGCTATAAAATCCTTTCCTAATGGCAAGGCGGCAGGGCCAGACAGTTTTGGTATTGAATTATATAAAAAATATTCTGAAAAGTTGGCTTCCCTTTTAATGAGGATGTTCACTCATTCTCTTGAAACTCAAAAATTCCCTAGCACATTATATGATGCTAATATCGCATTAATACTGAAAAAGGGTAGGGATGAGACTGAGCCTTCATCTTATCTGCCTATCGCATTACTTAACTCTGACATTAAAATTTTCACAAAATTATTAGCCAATAGGTTAAATAAATACATTTCATTCATCTATTATACATACAGATCAAACTGGTTTTGTTCCTAATAGATTTTCATTTTTTAATGTCAGGAGATTAATGAACATAATGTACCATAAGTACAAGAAAGGCTCTAAAGTGGCTGCTCTGTGTTTAGACGCAGAGAAAGCTTTTGATCAGCTGGAATGGCCTTATATGGTGAAGGTCATGGAAGAATGTGGGTTTGGTAGTCGTTTTGTGTCATGGATTACAACACTATATGCTCACCCAACCTCTGCCGTACTCACAAATCAAGAAAAATCAAAGTCATTTTTATTACATCGTGGGACACGTCAAGGATGTCCCCTTAGCCCTTTGCTTTTTGCAGTTGCGATCGAACTCCTCGCGATCAGTATTAGAAACCATCCATCAATTGAGCCTGTAAGACTGGGAAATGTAGATCATTACATTTCCTTGTATGCAGATGATGTTGTTCTCTTTCTGTCGAATCCTGAGTCAATTCCTTTACTGCTAAATGACTAAAGTTGTGCATGTGGGTTGGTGGACATGTGTTTAGACGTCAAGATCAGCATTCTCTTTGACAAGTGACGATTCTCCAGAGAAGGGCCCTGAGGCGGGCATGGCCCCAGGGGTCCCGGAGAGCACTGAGGTAGAGACAGCTATCCAGAACTACTCTTCACTCAGGAGGGAGTCCAGAGCATCATCACTTCCTGGGTGCAAGAGTGTTGACCGCCTGGACAACTCTAGTAAGAACACACAAACAGAGAGCGAGAGAGAGAGTATTCATCATTAGAATAGTCTGGTGCCTCAGAACAAAACTTACATATAGTACATGACTGAATCATTGATTTATCATTGATTAATTGCGAGATGATTTAAATCATTTAAAAATTTAAATTCTGTCATTTACTCATCCTCATGTCGTCCCAAACCTGTATGTATTTCTTTATTCTGTGGAACACAAAGATAAAGATGAAACACAAAGATATTTTGGAGAATGAAGAAAATGTTTTTGTCCATACAAAAATAACAATATTGGACCCTGTTGGATACTTTTGGACTCTATGGGCCAAAAAAAAAAAAATAGAAATGTTAGGTGAACTATCCCTCTAAGAATGCATTTTGACTGGATTCAAATTAAATCTAACAAGGCGATGTGTTTAATTCTGTGTGCCGAGTGTCAAAACTTAAAACTTAATCCCCCACAGAGAAAATTGACATTTTCTCATTTTGTGATTGTGTATGTGATGTACACGCGCACGCGCACACACACACACACACACACAAATCCTCTATATTTGTCTGTCCAGGTGTTTGTATCTCTCTCCACAGGTGCATCTTCAGTCCTGCAGTCCCCTGATGGTAACTGGATCGCCCTGCAGAGCTCCCAGCATTCCCGGCCCAGTCTGCTGACCAAGCGCAAGAGTCTTGTTTTCAGCGTGCTGGAGAAAGAATCAGGTGTCGTATCCACGTATGACGAGAAGGGCTCTGATTCAGATCCAGAGGACCAGGGGGGCTGGGGGGCTGCCCTGTTACAGTTTCGCAGACGCCTCTCCGATGAAACGTACTATACTGACTCTCAACATGACCCTGAATGGACATACACTCAACACCCACCCGTTACCTCACCCTCCTCAGGTCAGTACACCAACACTGAGACTCTGAACTCAGACTCTGAGACGTCTCCTGCCCCGTCCACTCAAACCTGCAGACCAGCCCACGGTATGCCGCAGAGGAAGAAAGGGCCGTCTGATGCACACCTGTATCCTCCATACAGACATCCTGCAAACAGTGCCGCTTCGCCTCTACTGAGGCCAGAGGCACTGGATGTAAACTTTAACCCCCGTCTGGAAGGGGACAGTAGTGATGGGGAGGAGCGGAACGAGCAGGTCAAAAGATCACCGAGGCGCAGAAAGAGCAAACGCGAGACATCAGAGCACAGCCGAGCACATTATGCACTGTACAGCGCTGCCACAGTGGTGAGAAAAATAATAGCCTGCTGGTTGATCAAAAAATCATACTGAGATTACTTTGGCACATATAACGTTTGTGATTTGGACTATGGTATGATAAAGATTTGACAGGTAATTTTGTTGCTGCTCGCAATATATCAAGCGCACAAATAAGAATAAATCTATGCTGATTTTTCAGTTAGGTGTACAAAAAATATCTATCAATGAATATCTTAATGAGGAGACTTTAACTCCACCTATGTGATTATTATATTATTGTTATGTAGCCTAGATTATTATTATAAACTTTAAATACTAGAATATTATTAAAAATAGAAATATATTTCTGCCGCAATTTCTTTAGCTTTATGTGTTTTTTAAGGCATCACAGTTAAATTCTTGAGCTTTCCTTTTAGTGGAAAACTTTTAATAGACTTCTCCTCATCTGGAGAAATGCTTGTCATCACCTCCTGTGTTCATAAAAATTTTAATTATTGTCAGGATTGTTGTTTTTTTTTCTTACTATAAGTGTACATTTCTATACAATTAATTCATTTAATTCCATTAATATTCTTTAAAAACAACACAAATGCTGCTTATGTAATATATTGACTTAAAGGTGAATGTATGTTACTCATTATTTGTCAATATTTAAGATACTAAATAGAAAATGACAATTTTGGCAAGAGTTGCAGCAATGGAAATTATAAAATCATTGAAAGCAAAAAGGAAGAAAACTTGTTTAGAATTCTTGTTTTTGCGTTTGAATGTGGTTTATATTTGACTCCAGTAGGTGGCAGTGCAGGACAGAGTTGTGCTTTTATTGGCATAAATAGTGTGGAAAAATTCTAACTCCTTTATCTCAGTCATGAAGTGTTTATTTTATATTCTTATTTTTTCTCCTTCATAATATTTGTCTCTCTCTGCTCTTCTCAACTGTCCCTCTCTTTAACACATCTCAGGAGAACAGTGCCGTCCTCCTCAACACCATGATGCTGCGCCGGCAACAGAGCCAGGATAACCCAGTCCCTCTGAATTACCAGGCTCCAGACACTGTGACCCCTCCTGATCTTTTGGCCTCTGACGCCATGACACCTGAACCTGACTATCAGAACACAGTGGCTCACAACTCCAGCGCCACTAGCCCACCAATGCTGAGCCAACTGGCGGCCAGCAAACCAGAGTTCCGTATTCAAGGCCCTTTTCTTAGGTGCTCCTCTGTTAATGAAACCCTGGAACAGGAACTGAGATCCAAACTCTGTGAGCTGGTTGGCCAAGTCAGCGAGATGGATGTGATGTCATCTGATTTTGAGCCAATCAGGGAAGTGGGCAACAAGCAAGAGGATCAAGTAAGGGAGAAAGAACGTAAGAAATTGAGACCAAAGGAGAGGCGCGAGAGCAAACAAGACAAGAGGGACGAAAAGTCGAAGGAAACTGGGAATCAGAGTGAAATACAAACAGTTAGAGAGATGGACACAAGTGATGCAGTAAGACAGATAAATATAGCGAGAGAAATGAAGAGAGATAGGGAGCAACAGGAAGAAATTGAAAGCCAAGTAGAGAGAGAGCGAGAGAGACCAAGAGAGCTGGAGAAACAAATCGAGAGGAACAGAGAAAGACAACGAGAGATTGAGATGCAGGTTGAGAGGAAACAGGAAAGACAGAGAGAAATGGAGAAAGAGCTGAAACAAGAGCAAAAGAGACAATCAGAGATTGAGCGCGAGATAGAAAAGAAGAGGAAAAGCATACGCATGGAAAAAGAGAAATTAGAACCTATAGTGAGTACGAAATCCAAAGAGGAAGAGAAACAAGAATCCTCAGGTAGACTAATGGAGCGAAATAAGAGTTTGAAGGAAGACTATGATGAAACAGAAAAGCCCAATGAGGAAAAGGTGAAGAGAATATCACCGCAAAGAAGCCAATCAGAAACAGGGTCAGAAAAACAAGAACAATGTGAGACAAAGACAACAAGGTCTTCAACCACATCTCCAGACAGTGCCCCCTGTGGTCTGGAGGAGCCAATGTCTCCATCAGAGGTAAGCACTGGCTCCAGCCTGTTACACTAAAAGTTCCTACTTCACCTAGACTTTGTTCTAAACTCTAGTGAACTGCCTAACCAAACTCCAAAACAGTTATTTAACTAAAGCTGTAAACATATTGACAGTTTAAACAACTTGATTCTTTTCAGACTGTTGCTGCACCATGACCATAGTTAACCTGAATAAGAAAACTTACTGTAGAAGAAGACTGCTTATAGTGTCTCTTGTAGCAAAAGTAAGAAGGTCATGCAACACATTTTAGATGCTACAATGTGTAATTTATTTATTTATTTATTGTGCATAAGATATGTTTCAAGCCTTAAAAAAGTCATAATGCATTGTGAGAAGGTCATTAATTGTTTGATGTAGTTGAGGGAAATATCCATAGACATATAAATACATAGATGCCTCATTGGCCACTTTGGCCCTTTGCTGTGATGCTTCAACTCGTCCGACATAATGGACCAGGCAAGACTGCTCTATAATCAAATAAAAATAAACAGGGGAGTTGCTTTTTTTTTCTGGACAATGTGCAATTACATTTACATTTCTTAACTGATTTCATTGGTTTATTATCTACATAGAGTACAAAAAAGTCTCCAGTTACTTAGAATCTTGATAGTTAGACATGGAAAATTATTCTTTGTCACTTCACAAGCATAGATTTGGCTTATTTTTCTTGTTAAAATTGTGACTGCATCGTTAATGTAATATAATGTACTGTACATAAATTGTTTCATTTTTTTAATTGTGGAAATGACTAATGCTAATAATTGACCATCATTGAAAAAATAATAAAGTTATAGAATAAAGTAATGGAATTGGCAAATACAAATAAAATAGCAAGGCACTGTCAGTCAGTCTGCTTTCTATCTATCTATCCATATATATATATATATATATATATATATATATATAGTTTTTTAAGCTTTTTTTTTTGCAGCAATGAAAGGATCCAGATATACACCAGGAGAGACCATTACAAAGACAATTATAAGATATGCCATTATTGATTTCCAGAGGTGAAATTTAGGTGTTACATTTTTTTTAAAGTAAAAATTTTATCCATATATTTTATATTTTGTGCAGCACATCTATTATATGTATCTGTATCAGTATCTGTAGGAATCTCAAAATTATTTCTGTCTCTAGCTGTGTCCCAATTCAGAGGCTGTATCCTTCAAAGGCTGTTTTCAGCTGCAATTCAAAGGATTCTTCAAATGTGGCCTTGAAATGCATCCTTCGTTTCCTAGGCCATGAAGCTTACAATTGATGGACCATTCACAGCCCAGACTATCCTAAGATTCATTGCGCACTGGTGACAACAGAATTTTTTTGAGAGAAAATGCCAGATAAGACTTTTAAATGCAAGTAAATACCTACACCAATATTATACTAATATTGGGTTTCAACATGGTGGAATATCTAACGATACGAAACACTTTAAAGCAGTTTAAATGCTGACATCTTACTAAGACGCGATTTTATAGATAATTTATACTTTTTATACATAAATGGACCAAGGTGAACAAATTTAGACAGGTTGTTACCCTGTTGTTTTCGGACAGTTGAATATAACTTTTAAAAATGTCCAGACATTACTGCTGCTTGTCAATGGCAGCTGTCACAGTTGCTAAGTGACAAGAGCAATCCTCTGTATAGAAGGCAGGGCCTTTGAAGTTCATTAAAGGATGCAACCTCTGAATTGGGACACAGCTTGTTTCCGGAAATGGGTAGGGCTTAAACCGGAAATAAGTTAGATTACACGAGAAGCCCATTTTAAATGCAATTCTATTCCCTTCATAGTTTTCATTTAACAGATATACCATAATTTTTTTATTATAATTAATAACTTTTTAAATATCTTTTAATTAAAACAAAAAAATAAAGAATGTTTTCCTTTTGTTTAACATTTAGTTTTAAATAACTAAACTGTTAAATAAAATGAAAACATTCTTTATATTTTATTTTCCAGAGGAAATATGTGTAAAGATGTCAGACCAATCATCCACAACCTCAAATAAGAGGACTCTATACCTGATTAGAGAACATGGATGTTGAAAATATTCAGTGCTAAATTGCTAAAAAAACTTTTACTATAAATGCAAATCAATAAATTATAAAGAATAAATTATGGATCAGCTCCAGGAGGGAATAAGACAGAGAAACATATCATGTATCACATCGTACAAGCTTTAAAACATCTAAACAGACATATCAAATAGTAGATCAGTAGCCTATTTTAGTTGATATCTCTTGGCGTGACACTTGAACTAAGGCGCTACAGTGTCACGCCACATTAAAAAGCATCATAACCACATTTATTGTTTGTATTTAATGATAAAATTGACAGATTTCAAAAGTTAAGACTTTCAGTATAAATAGTAATAAAGAAAATTGAAACAGTAAATAAAATGTATAAATGTAAAAGTATGGTATTTAGGGTAAAAGTTCACCTACTCTCTTACCCCATTATATATATATATATATATTTTTTTTTTTACAAAATATACTACTTTTGTCATTTCTTTTCCCGTTAAATGTGTTCCTCTATCAATGTTCAGTAAAAAGATGTATTTCACCAAGTATGGTTTCATTCAAAAATATAGTATTACCATTTAATGCAATCAATGGATTGTGGTACAGGCACAGTATATTTAAAGGGGTGCTTGACTTTTTTTTCTAGGCTTAATTTGTGTTTATGGGGTGCAGTCTAACATGTGTTAAAGGTGGGGTAAGTGATTTCTGGTAGCCAATGTTGATATTTCAAATCACCACAACAAACACGTTGTGTTTGTTGACCCTACCCCAAAAGGGTCTCGCCCCTATTTTGATAGCTCCGCCCCACACATACGTACGCAACCCAGGCAATGATTAGTTCTGTGAAACAAAGCAAAACCAATGTTACTCACCTATCGAGAAGAAACAAAGAAACCTCGGCGTCCGATCGCAGGCCTTCCCCCTCCTTGAGTTCTCTCCAGTGCTGGAAAGCTGATCCGATATTTACACGGGTCCTACTTCTTGCCTTACAAAATACTATAGAACTCATTATAATCAGTGATGCTGTCTACACTGGATGCGGCGCGGCGCGACACTACAAATCCCCAACAGAAAACTGCTGCCGCGTTCTATTTATGACGTATTGACACTAAATTCAAATGATTTTCAACGGTCGCTTTGTCACGTCCAGTGTACACAGACTTTAGCTGTTGCGGCGCGACAACAACTGCCGCGTCCGGTGTAGACACGGCGTAAGTCTTCTTTTGTTCCGCTTTTCCTCTTTTGTTTTTTATCCGCCATCTCTATCATTCTGTGGTCACTCGGCTTGGCTAATGTCCGTCATGTGCACTGAGCGCTCTCTCTGCATCATGAGTAGACACGCCTCTTACTGCTGATTGGCTACAAGTTTGTTTTTTTTTTATGCATTATTTTTCACATAATTTACCTTTATTCTACACAGCTCTGTCCCTTCTCTCATAAACGCGCTGATCATTTCCTGCGTTTATGAAGCCCCTCCCTCAGAAATACGTGATGGGCTCAGATTGGTTAGCTGGCCCAGTGTGTTGTGATTGGCTAAACCGCCTCTAGTGCAAGTCTGAACGTCACACCCCTCACCTCAGTGGCATGTGCTCCGGTTGTATTGTAAACAATGGCATCATCTATATTGCTTATCAGTTTGAGCCCGATTGAGACGCAGAGGATATTAGTGAAGAGGATCGCACAGAACCTGTGCAAGCACGGCTCTTAATGGTATGTTTTTTTTATTGTTGTTGTCACATACTTTTAGATACGCTGTTATTTGTAAATGGTACTGCTTCTGTTAGCTTTTAATATATGGTTTTATTTAAAGCTGATTAAAGGTTTAATACAGTACGGCAACCGCACGCGCGTCCATGTATAATGCTTCTCATAGCTATGTGAAAATAAGTGTATAAATGGAACAGTTCATTGTTGGAGCTGAACTGAATGAGATAGGGAGAGAGAGATGCAGAGCAGGGGAACGTGAGGAACAGTATTGAGAACCGCTGCTTTAGAACATGGATTTTGAAACTTGTAAAAGACAGAATCATGATTCATATATTAATAGATTTTACGTGCACACCTAGTTTTCTCTTCCTCTTCTCTAAAGCAGCGCAGCATGGCCTCGCCCCCCTTCATTGCATGTTCCTGGGGGCGGGGTGTTTCTGGGTTTGTGATGTCACAAACCTGGGAAGTAACTCGTTGTAGTCCCTACGAGCCGTTTTTGTAGGCATTAAACTGCCAGAATTTTAAAAGACGATATCTCCGTTTGCATTCAACTTTCAACACCACAACTTTGCAGATATTGTTTATGCTCAATCAACCACCCCTTTAAAAGAGCATATAGGCAGTTCACTGTGGTTTGGAATAGAGTCCCAGTTCACTCTCTATTGTGAATGTCAAGTGATATTATGCACCCAACTTCCCTTTTTCCAGTTTAAACAATAAACTGCACACTGTTGTTAAGCTGAGACTTAATGTGATTACAAAAGTGGGATGAGTTTGCGGATCAATATCCTTTGTTGATCCTAAAGCATCATTCCTATCAACCAATCTCAGCCCTACACCTAAAACCAGAGGATAGTGATTGGTTGAATGTGGTTCCAGGAACATCAAAGGATGTTGATGACCTACTTGTGTAAATTATGTGGTGCTTTATAAGAGACTATGAGCTCCATTAGAAGATGCCTGCTCGTCTAGATCCTTAATTCCGGCACTCTATCAAACCCTTAAACTTACATTTGTGTTACAAATTGAACTAAGAACGAAGATCTTCGCTCTCATTGGTGGTGAGAAGTCATGATCAAGCTCACACAGAAAAGCATGTCTGATGAAAGCTCAATTCTGTGTTGCCACTTCAGACTTGTATCGTGCATGAGGCAATGTGTGACGCATGAACCAGCCTGCAGAAATGAATATAGAACCTCTCTAGATGTTGTGAGAACATCTGATGCTGACGAGGGAATGCACACAATAAGAGCAGCACTGTCTTCCTCTATGGATTCTCTTCACCTGGCATCTGGTCCAGTCCTTTCATTTCCAGCTAGCATCTTGTCCATTATATTAAAGGAATAGTTAAACCAAAATTGACAACTATTTCTTCATATACTGACCCTTGTGTCTTTCCAAAACACTATGATTTTGTTGGTTATTTAGAACACACACATACACGCGCAAAAAAAAAAGAAAAAAAGAAAATCTGAAGACTGTTATCCATGCTTATTATGACACTCTTAAAATGTGCTTCCATGAAGAAGCTTTAATTGACCTTTTATAGTGAAAAAGGTTCTGTATATTATTAAAATGTTCTTTACATTAAGAAAAAAAAAAATCTTTTAAGAACTGTTCGCTGAAAGGTTTTTTGAGGAATCCAAAAATGTTTTTTTGCTAGAAAACCCTTTTGGAACCTTAGTTTTTAAGAGTAAAGAATGGAGATTGCTTTCAAGCTTCAAAAAGGAAACTACAGCACTATAGAATAGAAACACTGAAAATCTTGAAATCTGCTCATCCTCTCCTTGGCAAGTTCATGAGAGATGCAGCAATGTCTGATTTGTGAGTGAATCATTCTTTTGAATCAGATCTTTTCAATTAATCGGTCTGGTTGACAAAACTAATCTGAATGATTAGTTCACATATCTGACATCTTTCCAAAGATGAAGATTATCAGTGAATAAGGACAATTTTAATTAACATATTGCTTTGAATATAGTGCATAAGTTGCACTGACAACTTTTTTGACACCGATGTGGTACATTTGCATTCTTTTGGAAGTGCAGAACAGAAACCAGTATAATCATCAGGACTTCTCTTAATGTGTTCCATAAAAAAAGAGAGAAAGTCATACAGGTTTGGAATGGCATGAGGGTGAGTAACTGATGACAGAATTTTCATTTTGGTGTGAACTATCCCTTTAATAGTTTGTCTTTTGTCTTTCATCTATTTTATATTTCTTTCTACTTCATTTTCTTTGTTTTCTCTTTCATTTGTCTTTCTGTCCGATCTCTCTCTTTGTGTCTCTGTGTTTCTCTCTTTCTTTCAACCCCCTCCTGTTGGTCCAGGAGGGTCTGAGTGATAATGCCCTGCAGCAGAGGCTTCAATTACTCTCTTCTCTCTTACAGCAGGTGAGATATATCATGAGAAGATGCAGTAGAGCTGGAGAGATGCCTCCTGAATCCAATCCATTCATAGTCCATTCATACTCCTGCCTTAGAACCTGCTCATGACATTGCAGAGTCTGTTAGAGTCAGATACACACAGTGGGGGAAAATCTTCCTTTAGATTTCTTTTACATCTACAGTACTGGTGTCGATATTGAGAGCAGAACATGATGTTGTTTAACAAAAACCTGTTACTCTGGTTCTGAGCTGCTCGGTTCTCTTCATTATGTTGAAAATGTTTACTGCTACTATCCACGGGTCAAAACAGGCCTTAATTTAAAAAAAAATAATAATAATAACAAATATACTATATTTACTTATATTATTATACTTATTATAGTATATGTAATTGTTTTAAGTCTCTTTGGCTCACCTAGGATGCTTTTTTTTTTGTTAAATGTTATTACAATTTAAAATAACTTTTCTATTTTTATATAGCTATTTTAAAATGTAATATGAATTGAATTCATTTTTAGCAGCCATTACTCCAGTCTTCAGCAGAAATCATGCTGATTAGCTCAATAAATATTTATTATTTTTATCAGTGTTAAAATCAGTTATGCTGCTTAATTTTTTATTTTATTTTTGTGGAAGCCATGAAACTTTTTCAGAATTATTTGATAAATAGAAAGTTGAAAAGAACATTTATTTTAAATGTTTTGTAACATTATACATGTCTTTATTTTGATCATGCTTTAATATGTATCCTTTCTGAATAAAAATATTAATTTCTTTTTTTTTTTAACTGTTACTTAAATATTATGTAGAATTCATGTGTTTGTCTAACAAAATTTAAATAAACATATTCATGAATTTATAGGTAAAATTTCTAATAACAAACCATGGCAGAATGGGCAACAGGAATGCTGATTTAATTCAAATTTAGATTTCACTCAGTAAGGGTGAGATGACATGTTGGCTTGTAGTTTGTAAATGTATCTAATGTGTTATATTTTGGTTATTGTTTTACATTAACTTTGGCAACTAGATTGAATTATGATTAATGTAGTTTATACCATTTAGGCAAAATCTTAATTTCTAAAGGTCCGAGGCAATTTCAGTGGTGTCACAATTTTATGAACGTTTTATTTATTATGCAAAAAAATAATGCAGTAATAAGGTTGCTTGAAAAATGTGGGGCACAGCTGAATGTAACTTTAAAAATTTAATATTAAAATAAGTAAACTTACAGTAGATAAATAATTTAAAATACTTTAAGTATTATATTTCAGCAACAAGTCAGAATTATTAAATTGTTTTATAAAATTAATTGTTGCATAAAATAGACAAGTACACATCCTGCCAAAAACCTGCACAGATTTTTATTTTAAAACTAGCTCATTTTCATGCTACAAGTATGTTAATGTTGTGTTAAATTATTGTCTATCCAACATATTTGTCTAACATGTCTAAAGAACATGAGATTTGTGTCTTTATTGCTATAACATTTAGCCTAATAAGGGAGCAGTTTTCCCTACCAATTTCCCCTTTTGGGCAAGCATCAATACATTATAAATGTGCTCTACATTTTATTTAAGATTTTAAGATTGTGTGAATGTGGTCTTTTAACTTTCATTGGGTGTTAGATTTATTCAGCTCTGCACATCAGTTTTCTACATGTTCCTTCACTATACAGGTCTATTTTTACGTGCACACCGACCCTTTAAGAGCTCGAGGCACTCATGGTTTTAGGACTGAGTTTGGATCAATTATTTCTGTGATCAAAGCATAAACCAACCCAACCATTAATTGATTCCTCAAGTATTCATTACTGAATCACACTGCTCCACTCTTTCTTCCTGTCTCTTTCATTCTCACTTTCTCATCTTGAAAAGTAATTTTTATGTCATCATATTACCCTCTCTCATGTGTGCTTACTGTCTTACTTACAAGCACGCACATCAACAAGTACATCTCATATTGATGGCTTAGTACTCTAAATGAACTCTGATGCCTGTTACACTTTGAAAAGCTTATTGACAAGAACAAATGTACTCTCATCCACGTCGTTTCACAGTCTTACGATGACGTGTGCTCTGGTGTAGTGTCAGAGTTTTTGGCACATTGTGATTTGACCCGTTATCTCTTATAGAAATAGTTTACTCAAAAATGAATATTAAGTCTTTTTTTCTCACCCTCATGTCCATACAAACCTGGATGCTGTTATTTTTTCTGTGTTCCACAGATAAAATGCGTTGTACCAAATATGGGTTTGAACAACATGAGGTTGATTTAATAATGACTATTAATTTTCAAGTAAATTATTTCTGTAATATTCAAATGTGTATGTTGATGGATGTGTGTTACTCACTTTAAGACACCCTCAATGATGACCTTTCACCTCTGAGATGTTCAAGCATCTCTCATCCACGTACATCCACGTCACACTCTTCTTCTCCCATAATCCTCTCATCCTGTTTATTGATCCAACAGGTTGAGCATGCAAGCAATACATCCCAGCTAATTAAGCTGAGAGTGAGATCTTAGGTAGCTACGTGGAAGTTGTGATCCTCTCAGCATTTCTTTTTTTTTATTATTCTTTTATTAATAAATGTTTTATGGCTTTTATGGAAATTAGTTTCAAGAGCACCTGATATGCATTTGAATTCCATCAGTTTTGCATATCTATTTATCAGTGGTTTTCTCATCTGTTTTATGTGTTCTCTCATGTATATGGAGCAGAAGTACTCCGCTGCATCTTTATGCAGCATCACCACAGAGGTTCTGAAGGTCCTGAATGCCACAGAAGAATTACTTGGAGAGGCAGAAGGCAAAGGTCATGACCCTTCTCTGGCTTGCACACCCATGTCCTCAGGCCCAGGCAACAGGAAACTGGACCAACACCTCACTAAGATGGAGGAAAATGTAAGATTCACTACTGGAAAATGTTCTAGTGTTGTTTTTGATACTTTTTAATGAAGATGGGAAATCCAAGATTAGTGTTTTTAAGACAAACCATAATTATGACCATTGAAACCTACTCTACAGAAATATTCTACTAAAGCCAAAGCAAATTATTCAAATATAACCTGGACAATATTTTTTTTATTTACGTTCACTGTTTTTCTACCCCTGGGAGTACAGGTAAACCAGAAGAGAAAGATTTCCAATTAAATTCATAATAATGGTATATTTCTATTTAATATTTAAAGTATAAATATTGTTACAGAACAGTTTATTATTTTTTATTATACATTTTATATTAAACTTTTTACATTTTTATATTATACATTTTTATTAAAAAATTATTTTATTATATTTATATTTTATTGTATATATTAATATCATCGACAGCATTGAAAATACATTTAGTATTAAAAAAGCATGCAGTTCTCCCTTTCATCTGTGAAATTCTGATCTAATTTTGTGATGATGTGAACTGTGTGCAGGTGTATTTGGCAGCAGGTGCTGTGTACAGCCTAGAGGAGGCGCTAAGTGACTTAGAAGAGTGTGCTCGCAGTATCAGCAGCTCCACCACAGAGACTGAGCTGGCCTTTCTAGAAGATCAGGTGGCCACTGCTGCCACCCAGGTGCAGCAGTCCGAGCTCCAGGTGTGTGCTTGCATGTGACATAATGCAGACCGGTCCTAAATGTGCTATTGATACAGTATCAAACACTTCAAGTGTAAATTCAGAAGTTTATCTGTTCTTTGCAGATATCAGATATTGAGGCAAGAATATCAGCCCTTAAAACAGCAGGTCTAAATGTATCTGCATGCACAAGGTTTTCCAAGTACAAGTCTAAACCTATGGTGAGTTTCATCAGCATTACACTTTTTAAATTTTAAAGACAAACAGGATGCATTTGAACGTATAAGTGCAATGGATTTGTGTAACGTTTTTAGAATTAGTGATTTAATGTTTTTCCTGCCAGCCCCAGACACTGGACTCTTCTCGCCATCAGAGGAGAAAGCTGCCTGCTCCTCCTATCAGAAGTCTGTCATCAGGTATGAACACATTTAATACTGAAATATTGAAATATTGAAAGGGATCTCATCCTTATGTCTCATGTAATTCTAAACCTGTAAGACTTACTATTTTCCATGGAGCACAACTAAAAACAGTGCAGAATCTCTAGAGGGCGTATTTTAAGAATAGAGACTCCAAAGAAGACAAAAACAATATAAGTGGTCCATAGTACTTGTGCATTAGAATCCAAATCTTTCAAAGTTATATGATAGCTGTGTGGGGAACAGACTGCTAAAAACTTCCCCTGGCCTTCTGTATTCAGTTTGAATATAACACGTCAAAACATGTTGTGCCAAGTTCCCCTTCAGGAACTCGAGCTGCGTCGAAACGCTATGGGAACGACTTCAGTGTGACCACGCTCTGAATCACATGTGTAATCAGTCCAATGGATGGGCGAGACGTCACTTGCGGGGTGACGTAACGACCAGGAAGCTTAAAAGCACATGCGGTGGAACCGTATCTGTTTGTGAGTCTTATTTAGTGTTGTTTGTCCACTTATAAGCTCCATTATGTCAAAGCTTCAGTCAATAGAAGCATTTGGGTGAGAGCAGGCAGCGTTCAGGCTGTGTGTTCCTCCCTGCCCACGCTATATTCGGGTGGGGACACACACAGTTTGTGTGTTGTCTGCTTGGGAGCGAAGCACGCAGAGTCAGCTCTCGAGGGAGTTGACTGCCTGCATTGCGAGCGTTTGTTTCTGCCTTGCTTCGCTCTCAGAAGGCTCTCTTTGAGGATGGAGCCTTCACTAGCATTTCTCGTGGTGCCGGCTCCGCTTTCACCGGGGCGGAGCGGCGGCTGTGCTCGTGGGGTTCGCATATGGATCTGGTGGAGGGAATGTAGACGGGCGAGTCCCTATCTTCTTCCTCACCCACCAGATCCAGAGCCCGCACTCGGGGTTCGGAAGCCTGCGCTGCGGTTCTTCCCCGGGGGAGAGGGCTCGACGCTCCACCTGTCTTCCTCCGAGGAGGTTGATATGGAGGGCGTCGATGAGCTCGCCAGTTGCACAAGCACCAGTTTCACAAGCATATTATGCCTAATATTATAATGAGGGTTCGGAAGCCCGCGCTGCAGTTCTTCCCCCCGGGGAGAGGGCTCGACGCTCTGCCTGTCTTCCTCCGAGGAGGTGGATAGGGAGGGCGTCAATGAGCTCGCCAGTTGCACAAGCATCAGTTACACAAGCATATTATGCCTAATATTATAATGAGCAGCATTACTGGGGAGTGGAGCTCGCGCAGTCAGCTCTCGAGGTGCTGATTGTGCCTTTCCCGCTGTTAAGCGCTCCGCCCTCGCCGGGCACGCTCCAAAGGAGTGTTTCCGTGCCTGTGATCTTGCGGTTCCGGTCCCACTCCTGCTGAGGCATGGCAGCGATTGAGTTCGCGGGGATCGCACATGATGTGGCGGAAGGGTTGGAGACGGGATCTCCCTATCTCCACCCGCGCTCCCTAGATCTAGCGCTCGCTCTTGAGGCTCGGAAGCCCGCGCTGCGGTTTCTTCCCCCTCTGAGTGAGAGCTCGCTGCTGCAGCTATCTTTCTCCAAGGAGACTGATATTGTTTGTGTGACCGAGCGGCTCGCGTGCTGCTGAGGCAACGCGTGCATTAGGCAAGGCAAGTTTATTTATATAGCACATTTCATACACAATGGTAATTCAAAGTGCTTTATATAAAAGAAAAGAAAATACATCATTTTCGGTTTTTGATATGAATCTTATCACACCAGACCATGTTTACTTGTTTGGTTGTTTGGCTGCATTTAATTCTGAGGAATTAAATGAAGTAGTTATCTGATTTTGAGAAGTTAGATATACAGGGGCTCTTGGGATAAAAATTTCTCAAGTGAGAGCACATGTTTACCTCTCTTCCTCCGAGGAGGTTGAGGCGGTCAGCAGGGGCTGCTGGGCGGGAGCAGTCCCAACCTACCGTGTTCCAGCTCCTCATTCTGGGGGCGTCACTTCTCGTACTCCGCAGAGTCTAGAGTCAGAGTGGCGCTCCCAGGCCGAAGGCTTCTAGCGGAAGGCGGTTCTGCGGACTGTCATTGTCGCTGGATAGTCTTCGTCTAAAACGTCCTGACGCCTAAGACCTAGGACTTCTGAGGGCCAGCCCACTCTGGGGAAGAGCGGTGTACATTGGTGCCCGTCTCTCCTCAGTGCCCTCAGGAGATCGGTCCGCCAACCCTGCCACTCACGGTGCTTCAGGGCGCAGCGGTCTCTGGCGAGCGCTTCTCTCAGTCACCGCCTGGGAACGTAGCGGTACTAAGAGCCTTGCTACCTCTTCGGAGGTCTCTAGAGTAGCTAGTTTGGCCGTCCCCTGCCGGTTCGCCGCTTCAGGGCACCGAGCTAGCCGCTCTGATTACACCAGAGGTCAGTCTCGAGACACTGATTCCCTTAGTAGGTCACCTGACGGTGTGGGAGCCCCTGCCAAGCGTGCCCTATTGGGTCCTGCCCCGAGCAGGCTCTGGTTCTATCAGTCTAGTCTTCCTAGGAGATGACGCGGGTCTGAGGACCGTCATTTTCAATAGAAGACTTCAGCTAAGAGAGCCCTGATGCCATGGCTCAGGACTTCGGAGGGACCGCATCACACAGCGCCCGTCTCTCCGCAAAGCCCTCAGGAGATCAGTCTGCCAACCCTGCCGGTGTTCCAGGGTGCAGCGGTCTCCGGCGAGCGCTTCTCTCAGTTACCGCCCAGAAACGTAGCGGTGCTAAGAGGCTCGCTACCTCCACGGAGGTCTCTAGAACAGCTAGTACGGCCGTCCCCTGCCGGTCCGTCGCTTCAGGGCACTGAGCTAGCCGCTCTGATTACACCAGAGGTCAGTCTCAAGAGACTGATTCCCTTAGTAGACTATTTGGCAGTTTCAGTTTTTCAGAAACACAAAGATGTGTAAATCTTACATGTCTTATAAGAGCAGTACCCTGTATGCTGTATTTGTGATCATGGTTTGAACCTGCTAACATCCTAGAGGCAACAATTTCATTTCAGAGAAAAGAGCACCTTTTTTCTTCCACTGACATTAAACTGGGGGTGGGGGGGGTCTATTTTCACACCAAGTGACATTACACATTTTGATTTGAAAAGAAAGATGGAATGAGCAAGCAGTGAAAAGGTGCAATACTTAATGCACCATGTAGAGACACTGGGAGAAGAAAAGAGAAGAGGATCCATTAGAGAAGAAAACAGAGATTCAGCCAGCAGTATGATCACTTTTCCTCCCTCATCTTCTCCTCCTTAATCTTCCTGCTAATTAACAGGGTTTCTTTTTAGCGCTGACCATTGATATGACCATGATTCATTTTATTCCTTTATTTCACATTAGCTGCAACTTCAAAGGACAAACGTACTTATTGTAGTTCAGCTGTTAGTGACACAAACCTACCAATAGAAGGAGACGGTAACAGCTTGTCCGAGGGTTGAAGTGGTTCTTTAGTGTGTGTGGTGCATGTTGTAACATTTTCTCTCAATACTCTTTTGTGGTGTTGGGCAGATTCCATGTCCATACATAAGAAAGCTCTAGCTTGTGTGTTACATGTTGACATTAAAAGTATAGTTCACCAAAAAAAGGAACAGTCTGTTTTTATTTACTCACCTTAATGTCATTCAAAACCAGAATGATTTTTGTGTGTGTGTGTGTGTGTGTGTATGTGTGTGTATGTGTGTACCTGTTTTTCTATTCTGGTGGGGACTTAAACCTGAATACACACAGACTCATGGGGACTCGTGGAATATACGGTCGGTACAGTAGAAAAACCATTACGCCTATGGAGAGTCCCCACAAGGATAGCAAACCAGACATGAGTGTGTGTGTGTGTGTGTGTGACATAAAAGATGTTTTCAGAATGTTCATGCTGCCCTTTCCTATAGACAGTGAGCAGGGACTTTAAAAGTGTCCCATAATACCAATACTGTGTATAATTCTGACTAGAACCAGAAAATCTGAGCATATCACACCAGTCTTCTGGGCCTTACACTGGCTTGCAGTTATATTTAGGATTGATTTTAAAGTACTTTTACTCGTTTATAAATCACTCAATGGCCTAGGACCTAAATACATAGCAGATATGTTCACTGAATATAAACCTAACAGACCACTCAGATCATTAGGATCAAGTCAGTTAGAAATACCAAGGGTTCACACAAAACAAGGGGAATCTGCTTTTAGCTATTTTGCCGCCTGCAGTTGGAATCAGATTCCAGAAGAAATCATATGTGCTAAAACATTAATTAAATTTAGTGCGCAAATTTAGTTAAAACATTAGTGATGTCTGAACTGAGTGCACTGTATTTTATGTATAATCATTTTCTATTTTTAACTGTCTTAAATTCATTTTAAATCAATTTTTTAATCATTTTCAAAGTTTTTAAATTCCTTGTTTTATTTTTGTGATAATTTTTTTATGATTATTTTACTTTCTTTTATGCAAAGCACTTTGAATTACCATTGTGTACGAAATGTGCTATATAAATAAACTTGCCTTGCCTTAATTTTAATCATTATTTAAAAAAAGGTTTTAAATGTACTTGTAAAGTTAAAAAGGTATTTTTATAAATGACATAAACTATCATTTAAAAGTCGCACCACACAATATTTTAGCAGTCACCTTCATATTTTTTTTTATTTATGGCCCCTAAAAATATCGCAATGAATTATACTTTAGAAATTAAAAATGTTCTCCATAGAAAAGATCTACTCAAGTTATTGCTCGTATGAAATTGCATTTTTGATATATGTTCAAATAAATTTATATATCTTGTCAAGACATTCTACTGGTAATTTATAGATATGCTATTGTGTGTTTTTAGTTAATTACGTTAATAATAATGTATTAATATTGTTAAAGCTACTCAACAAGGCTGCACATTTGATTTAAAAATACAGTAAAAATAGTAACATTGTGAAATATTATTAAATTAATAGTTCTCTATTGTAACATATTTTAAAATGTAATTTATTCCTTATGATGCACGGCTGAATTTTCAGCAGCCATTACTGCAGTCTTAGGTGTCACATGGTCCCTCAGAAATCATTCTAATATGCTGATTTGCTGCTCAAGAAACATTTTATTATTATGATCATTGTTGAAAACATTTGTGCTTCTTAATGTTTTTGTGGAAACTGTTCATAACAGCATTTGAAATAGAACATTTTTTGTAACATTATAAATGTCTTTACTGTAACTTCATCAATGTAATCCATCCTTCCTGAATAAAAGTATTTCTTTAAAAAATCTTACTGACAACAAACTTTGAATGATATAGTGTATATGTAGAAATTAGCATTACATGAACATTATTATTGTTTATTTTTTGTTCATGCTAACTATTGCATTTCTGTATCTTATTGTAAAGTGTTACTGATGAAAACATTTTCATTTTTGTGTGAACTATTGCTCCTATTACAAAAAGAGCTTATTCAAGGTAATCAATTCATGTTATATTAAATCATGTGAAAGTAAATCTCTGTTCATAGCTAAGAGAGCTAAGTGCTAAACACATCTGCACATTAAGCCAAAATATCATTAAAAAAAGGGATTTCCAAAAAAAAAAAAAAAAGTACATTTTCTAAGAGGGTGTTTTAAATTCCTTCCACACAGAAAAGGAAGTCAAATCCGAGCCACAGATGAGATCAATGAGGCTGTGACAAGAGGCCATGTAACCTCAGTGATTCTCAGATAAGCTGGATGGCTCAATATCACTCTGCAGTGAATGCTAGGACCATCAGGCTGTTCCACACCAGTGCCTTGATCCAACTTCCGGTCCTCCAGTTTGATCAGCACTAGTGCTACTTGTCGACCCTAAGCCTGATCACAACCCATGTAGGGTTAATCTCACTTCTGACCCCTAGAACTCTACCAAACCCTGGAGCTCATCATCTCCAGTAACCAGGGGACCCGATTCTCTCTCTCTCTGCCTTAATGGAGACCAAACTCCTACAACGAACCATCACAGAGGCTTATAATTGTAGATTTAAACTCATGTAATTACTGTATATGTAAGATAGCTGGACAATGGTAAATGTTAACAATCTAGGACATCACCTCATTCTCTTTTTCTAATGTTTTACTGAGTGCTGTACATGTTTGAATTTGTAAGCTGTATGTCGGCAATGTGACTGGGATGACCAATGTAATCTGTTTTTTTTTTTATTGCAAAGATAAGCTGGAGCACATTTGGTAAAAATTTTAAACATGAAATGTCTATGTGAAAGTAAACAAAATACCTGCAGGACCTGTTGTATTTGCATTGTCACTATTATTCTTATATGTGTTGCGAATATCTCAGGTTTTTTTCCGATTATCATTTTTGGAGTTGTTTCTTTTTAAGTGCTGTACTCAAAACTGCATCTAAAATAATGGTGAAATTCATGATTTAGTCTCTATTTTGTTTTGTAAAAAAAAAAAAAGAGTCAAGTGTCATTGAAAAGCACTCGACCACCTTGCCATATAATGAGTTTGTGAGTGTGTTTGCATTAATCATAACCCCCCTGTGTATTCATATTTGTCTTTAAATCAACCTCAGATATCCTGTGACCTCTTGAGTATGAACATCAAATCACTGTCATCTCAGTACGAAGCTCTCTGGTAAATTGGGTTGTGGCCTTTTTTGACTTCTAATTTCATATTTTATTAATTACCTTCTTTTATTAATCGAAACACCCAGTTGTTATTCTCAGAGCACTGCTTTAGTATTACAACCCACCTAGATATCCACCTGGGTGTATATACTTAAAATGCTAATTTTGGACATTCAGTCTATACATCTAGATTCAATCTAAAACAATCTGTAATGTTTCTGTAAAAATAATACCCAGTGTACTTTTTCTGATTTTTTTTTTTCTTCTTACAGTTTTTTTTTTCTTTATGTTTGTTTTAGTTCATGGAAAACTGTGCAAATCACATGAGCTTCAATTTGACATTGGGGAAGATTTTAAGAGCTACGGTGAGCTATTGTTTTTCAGTATCGATTAGAATTAGCCCTTTTAGCTAACATAAATTGCAAAAGCATGAAAGATCTTTAGGTACCTTATTAAGATATTCCACAGAACCGTCCTTTTTTTGAAACCAATGGAGAATAAACTAGCATGAAATATACAATTGCACCATCATCCCATACTTTTGTCTTCCCCATTCCACTCTATTTGCTCTAATGCCACTCTAATAGCTATTCAGCTTTCACACTCTCAAACGGGGTTCTGCTCCTTGTTGTTGTCTATGGCAATGTTTGTGTATAAAAGCATGTATCACGTTTCTAATAGATGTAAAAAGTCCCATGAAAAGCGCAGTCAAGAAAATGAAAGTGTCTTACAGTGTCATGTATTTTTTTCTATTTAGAAAAATCGAATGCATATTTACACTTGAATGAAGTACAAAAAGACAAGAGACAGATATGAAATATTGTAGGCTCTTTAAGTGTGTTTTGGGTTTGTCGTGACCGCAGGGGCATTAGCCAGCCTCTTATCAGAATGTCCTCTGTTTATTTTAACCATAAAGTGTCAACGGGGGAAAATATTCTGTAGCGAAAAGAAAAAAAAAAGCCAATGAATTTTCATGTGCCAAATTTGTTCTGACACAAGCAGTGTTCAAATAAATATGAATAAAGTTTGCATTCCTGAAGAGACTCTGAGATGTTTGTGTTCTTTTGTAGATTATATTTGAACAATTTTATTGTAATTGAATTGTGGAGCAGTAGTTTGCATAATCCATTACAGTACTAATAAGAGGAAAACGTACATACATTTGTTGATTTATTTATTAATATAGATTGCATTTGTAATATGTACTCTGAGGAAAGAGGAAAACTCTGATTAGTTATACACACTAATACACTTAAATATTACAGGCAGCAGGTCGCTGTAGATAGTAGTTCTCATGGTAACCAGTCTGACTCCTCCTGTGCCAGCGCACTCCTCAAGCTCTCCTTATTCCTGAGAGTGTTCAACAGGAGCTCCAGAGATTTGACCACTGGCTGCAGACTACCTCCAATCTGTCTCTTCCCAAACCGCCCGATAGGTCTCACGCCGCGCCCCACATACCAGAACGGGTCAATCTCTGGACCTATTTATGAGAGGTCAAGACAAATGTTACTATTAGAGTGCATATTTGGTATATGTGCACATATTACAAATAATTTTGGTCTGTTTGTTGTCAATCATGAATCTAATTTAACTTTTACTATTACTTTAATAAGGTAAACAACTAGAAAGATTATTTAAATACATTCACTATGTCTTATAATCAGTTTTATAATAAGTTCTCGTAATGCACAATTATAAAATGCATTAAAACAGATGCATTAAAACAAATGAACAACATCATATTTCACACTATTAGAATGTATTACAGTCTATTAAAGTAAATTTGTATGTACTTTATGACCAAATATGACCAAATCAACCTGGCTATATCAGGTTAAACCAATGAAAGTAATTTTTAAGAATCAAATTAAAATAGGTCACAAAAAATAAAAATGCTACAATAAAAGCTGTTCATTGGCCACTGTAGGTTATCTACCATATATGTGTACATCATTTTCTCAATTAATTTTTTCAATACTTTTAAAGTAAAACATTTTATAAGTAAAAAATAAGTCTCCTGTTTGTTAACAGGTTTGTTAGTTATTATATTGCCTTTTGTCTTGCCATCTGCAATATTAATGTTTTTTATTGGTATATTTTAAACTTCAAAGCACAATAAAATTCAAGCAGGTTGGTTTATTAACATTATATCACTTGATTAAATAATATCATGAACTATAACATATACAGGCGCAAAAAAAATCTGTTAGTGTCAGATAATTTCTGTTAATTTAACAAGATTTTCTTTTTACATTGTATAGCATTGTATAACAGTTACATGTTAAAGTATATTTTGACAGTAATTACAATTGTTTATGAAAAGATAACTGACTACAAAGTACATTTTAATGCACTACGAATACCTTTATAAGAATATCTGTATAATGTAGGCTATTATGAATATTTTTTTAAATGCACGAACGTCTGACAGCTGCTCCACTGACATTGCGCACAGCATCTGCCATTCTCTTGATCAAGTCTCTTGAAGCTATTATGAATCAAGTTCATTACAATGACAAAAACTGATCGAAAAAACTTACTTCTGTTATCGACGTTGTGGACGATATGAAGGTCGTGTTCGACTGTGGTACCGTGTGCAGAGGTCTCAGTGGCGGACAGAATTAGCAGCAGCAGGAAAGCGACCGTTGCCAAGCGCGAGCCAATCAGGCACTTAGTCACGGGCTGAGTGAAGGCGGCGGGCAGCATGCTGAGTCTGATACAGGGCACTGTATATAACATGATACAGGGTGCTCAATAATATAAACAAATCCTTTGAGTAAAGGATTCAGTGACTCACTAATAAAGTGATTCACTCATCTAATCTGTAATTTGTTGCCAACTACTGGCTCATGAATGTAACCTGTAAAATTATCACAATATAATATAATATAATATAATATAATATAATAAATATAATATAATAAATATAATATAATATAATGTAATATAATTACTAGTGCAAAACATGTACATTTTCTACATGATCTGACCCTTAAAATTACTTTTTGCATATATAAAATGCATAAAAAGAAAATATAGGCTATATGTTCTACATGTTCTAGTCCAAACTGTGCTAGATGAAAAATCTAAATATATAATTCAAGTAAAAAATATTTTGAAATTCAACTATTGCACATATGAAAGTCATTTTAGGGGTCAGATCAGGTAGAAACTGCCCATATTGTGCACTAGTAACTGTAATCAAAACTTGCCTCACAAAATTATTAAAACAATAAATTCTTTTCACCTTTATAAATATTGGACCTTAAAGTGTGACCAATATCTTTACTTGAATGAACAATTTCTGCTGAGAAATTCACTTTAGAAATCACCAAGAACATTTAATTTAATATATACCTGGTTAAATCTATAAGAATTTTTGGACTTACATGTGTCTTTGGACGTTTGCTCTTCAGTAATGGGTGTTTCTGGGGTCAGAGTCCTTTCGTCAGTCCAAGTAATTCAGGAATGTTGTGCTTATATATCGTAAGGTGTCTGTCACAAAATGGATCAGATCACGTCAATCTCGCAGGACATCCCTCCTTACACACACACACTCACACCTCCGACTTCCTCCTCTCCCCACCTCCTCTCATCGTAATCAGCATCTCAACTCCTTTGATCCCTTGACTTGGACCCATCACAGTGAAGGAGTGATGAGAGAGAGCTTGTCCATTTGTGAATCAGACACGCCCTGATGCACTTTATCAGTGGATCTCTGACACACACACACACACACACACACATTCATTTCTGTAAGAAACACCACATCAAGTTCCACATGTTCACTGAGAATTTGAATTTGAGAGCTACAGCAGAGGCCACTATTCATTTAAATAGTTGAACTTTGATTCATATATATATATATATATATATATAGTTGTCAGTTATGAGTGTGTGTGGTTCTGTCCTATGTTCCAGGAGCACCTATCACAGAGCATCAGGTGCAGATCTGATACTGAACAGCCCCACTACAGCACATGCAGAAAATAAGGCTTTAATCCATCAGCATATACCATAATGATATTACAAATATGAGATGTCCCCATTCCAGACAGATGCACCACAAAAAAAAATCCTCTTTTCTAGAGTATTCATCCAATGAGATGCAAGAGATGAGAGGGTGTGATGTACAGGCTTTGCTGTTGCTGCTGTTCCAATAATCTGTCATTATGGGCTCAAGTATTGAAGATGCTGGAACCCATTGTGTTTTTTTTTTTTTTTCAGCATTGTGGCACTGCTTTTTACCAGCATGCTTTGCAGCTATGGTCAAATCAGAGCACATTTAATCTGATTATGCTAAAAAGCATGTGAAATGGGTTTAGGGGGGTATTCATAGTTGATTGAAGTTACAGATTTTGCTGCAACATTGCAAGCTGCATGTTACCATTGTGGATAGTTACAGTTGCCAGCCACTTTCATTATTATGAATAAAGTGTGTATATAATTTTCTATTTTAAATGTTATATTGCATTTTGTGTATTTTGAGGACATAACAAATTTTGTCAAATTTTTGAGCTACAAAAAGTAGCTGGAAAGTAAATACGTTACCATTGATCATCCAATTTGGTCAATTTCTTCTGTTTTCCCATCCACATGGACTGATAACTAGATCATTTATCAAAACTGGAAACATCATTATGCATGTACAGTATTTATCTATCGTATATATTTAATTGTCACTGTTAACTACAACTGATCCTAAAGGAATCATGGTAACACTTTACAACAAGGTTTCATTTCTTAACATTAGTTTACTATTTTAGTTAACATGAACAAACAATGAACAATACTTCCACATCATCAATTAATCTTAGTTAATGTTAATTTCAACATTCACTGATAGATCTAAAATCATCTAATAAATGTTAAAATCAAAAGTTGTATCTGTTACATTAATTAATGCACTCTGAATGGGCAAACAATATAAGAGAAAAAACTGTTGAAAAACAGAAAAGTTACTGCTAATTTTCTGCTACACTGTAAAAAAAATGTGTAATTTTAACTGTAAAATATTGTAAAAACTTTTTAACAGTAAGTTCCCGTACTATATAAAGGGATAAACTTTAAAAGATCTAACCAGACATTTCATGTAATATTACAGTAATATGCTGTTCATTGTACAGTTTTTAGAAGTAAAAAAAATAACAAATCATTAATATAATATTCTACATAATAATATATTAGTATAATTTACAGTCAAAAACCGAAAACTGATAT